TTGCAGGCTTCCAAGCTGCTAAGAGAGCAGATCTTAAAAGTCTTCATCATAAGAAAAAAAAATTTTTGTAACTATGTAAGGTGATGGATGTTAACTAGACTTATTGTGGTAATCATTTTGCAATATACTCAAATATAGAATCATTATGTTGTACACTTGAAACTAATATAATATTATATGTCAATCATATCTCAATACAAAAATTAATTAAAATTAAATTTAAAAAACAGTTTGATATTGACAAAAAATCTGTATGGTATACAATTTTTTCTTAGTAAATAATGTGGCCATTACTATACTTGTATATTTGTGCCCACCTTAATTATTTCTTTATTTTTTCTCTTTATTGATTTGAGAGGGAGAGGGAGAGAGAGGAAGACAGAGGGAGAGAGAAACATCCATGAGAGAGAACATCAATTAGCCGCCTCCTGTATGCCCCCCACTGGGGATTGGACCCACAACCTGAGCATGTGCCCTGACTGGGAATCGAATTGGCAACCTCTTGGTGCATGGGTCAGTGCTCAACCACTGAGCCACACCAGCCGGGCCCACCTTAATTATTTCTTTATGCTCCATTTCCTAGAAGTGAAATTCCTGGGTAAAAGAGAAGGAATGCTTTCCAGACTGTTGCGATGTATTGCCAAATTGCTCCCTGGGAAGATGCTACTAATTTGCACTTTCACCAATGACACATGTGAATGTGCTCATTTCTCTGCATCCCAGTTAATGGTGGGCAATATTGTTTAAAGCTGTTATTCAATTTGAGAGGCTAAAATGCTATTTAGTTTTAATATTCATTTCTCTGATTACTTCTGAGGCCAAACTTTTTTCCACATTGTTATTAGTCATTTCTTAAATAATATTTTTATGTCTTCTGAATTCAGCTAGGGATTTGTCCCAAATGAGAAGTAGCATCAAATTGTATAATGCCCATTTTCAGGTTCACTAGCTCCATCTCTGCCCCTTGTCTCCCCAGAGATACCCAAGGAAGTTATTTACCTGAAAGAGCACATAAAGACTTCATCTCATACAATTTTGATGTATCATGCTTGAACAATTGCGCAAGAAAGGACATGACTTAGCGTTGCTAGAAAATACATTTTTAATAGCTCTTGTGCATATGGAAGCAACTTGCTACCTTTAAAAAGATTTCAGGGATAAAAAAGGCTGCTTTAAAAAATGTAGACAAGATAAAAACTATATTACCATATCAGGTATTTTGAGCACCTGAGAAAAGAGGTGATAGATAAGTACCAAGTTTTATATATTGTTACCAATAGTGTCAGCCACTTACTTTTCCTTTTGTGCTAGTTTGTTTTGTTTTATTTCACATATAAATTCTCTCTTGTTTTTTTTGGATTGGGCAAGCTGTCTTGATACATACATATATCATGTACTTTATTTCTGTGCTTTTCTTTTGCTTCCTGGTTGAGACCTGTAAAATTTTAGGAAGTGATGTTTTATGAATAACAGATTAGCAAACAGAACCATTGTAGTTTATTCCTTTCTATTTCTGTCCTCAAGATTTGGTGAAATTAGTGGCTTAATGATACACAGAGAACTTAAATACTGACTGAAGGAATGACTTGCTACACAAATAAATTCTAAACAAGAGATTAATCTATAACCTCATTTTTTACTCTGTTTCTGTGCAGTCTTGGAAGTGGATCCTTGCACCGGGTGTTCTTTATATCTTTGAAAGGATCCTCCGATTTTACCGCTCCCAGCAGCAGGTTATGATTACCAAGGTAAAGCATATGTACTTTCATCTTGCCATAATAAGAGTTATGTTCTTCCTGATTATAAAAATAAATTGCCATATTGTCACTCTGAAGGGAATAAAAAAAGATCTTGGGGGATAACATACTTCAGTTCCTTCAGTGCTGGACAGAACTATGGGAAGAGGGGTTTGGTGTAAGTCATCAGCATGGGTCTAGGTCAGAGGCAGCAAACAGGTGGTCTGTATCAGATCTAGCTCACAGACATATTTTGTTTGACCCACACACTCATTGTTTAGAAAGTTGAATTGGTTGCTAACACATAAAAATCTGGATGGCGGCTTTCACATTAAAAATGGGGGGGAAAAAGAGATACATCTGTAACAAAAATAAATAAATAAATACACTTTAAAAAATTGCATTTCTGGCTTCTCTTGAGAATCAAGCAACTTCTTCCGGCCGAGTCGCAGTTTCATAGTTCAAGCACTGTCACCAGCCTTTCAGCTTTATTCATTTTCTTTACCTGCCCCTGTCGCCATTTGAAATTGCCTCCTTTGGTCTCTGTGCTTCATTCATAGGTTGTCATGCACCCATCTAAAGTTTTGGAATTGCAAATGATCAAGCGTGGCTTCAGCATGGAAGTGGGACAGTATATTTTTGTTAATTGCCCCTCAATTTCTTCCCTGGAGTGGCATCCCTTTACTCTGACCTCTGCTCCGGAGGAGGACTTCTTCTCCATTCATATCCGAGCAGCAGGGGACTGGACAGAAAATCTCATAACAGCTTTTGAACAACAGCATTCACCATTTCCAAGGTAGGTCCCGGAGAGCCACAGAGGGCCAGACCAGGATGCCGGCAGGCAAAAACAAGAATGCAATTTCTCATTGAACCTTACATCTGTACTATAGAATATAATAAAAATAAACAGGCAGAAATCAGCTGTCGGATCTGCTATGCCTCTGGGAGAATGTTTGAGGTTGGGGGTGGAGGTGAGACTTCAGTTACCCATTGTCTTGTGTCTTCTGCCAGGATTGAGGTGGATGGTCCCTTTGGCACTGTCAGTGAGGATGTTTTTAGGTATGAAGTGGCTATGTTGGTTGGAGCAGGAATTGGGGTCACCCCCTTTGCTTCCATTTTGAAGTCCATCTGGTACAAATTCCGGCATGCAGATCACAACCTCAAAACACAAACGGTACACTCCTTCATAATACTTTTCATCTGGGTTGGGCTTGACAGGTTCATTGCTTTCATGGACTGAGATCTTTACAATCCATGAGAGAGTAACCACTCCCTGGAGTTATGAGAGCAAGTGATCACTTCTCTTTGCCAAGGCATCTGCTACTACAGACTGACCATAAGAACAGAGTCTTTGTTTTCAATTTGGACTTTAAAATTACCTTGAATCAAAGATGACATTGGTGGGCGGTCTCTCTCCATAAGAGAAGTTGTCAGGACTCTGGACATTCGTGCTGCCTAAGGTCTGCTGTTCTGTACAGATGGTTTTTCAGGTTACTCTAAACTTGATCAACAAATATACAGTACTTCTACCTAATCATGTCACCACAATGCACAATGTAAAGGGCACTTAATAAAGCTATGTTCTCTCTTGGTGATTCCAGATATATTTCTACTGGATCTGTAGGGAGACAGGTGCCTTTGCCTGGTTCAATGACCTATTGGCTTCCCTGGAACAGGAAATGGAGGAATTAGGCAAAGTTGGTTTTCTAAACTTCCGTCTTTTCCTCACCGGATGGGACAGCAACATTGTGAGTTCAAACAACACACCAATTCCCATGTTGGATGCAAGCTGAATGTCAGACAAAAGACAATGCATGCTGATTGGAAATTATTTCTTGTGATTTCATACCTGCCCTTACCTTCACACCCAAGTTTGTTTGTTTGTTTATTATTGTTGAACATATTACAGATGTCCCCCCTTTTTTCACCCATTCACCCACTCCTTCCCATTCTCACCCACCTCCTGCCTTCCGCAGCCCAGCTCACAGCCAAGTTTAAAAGTGGCTGAAGGAAGAGACAGCTATCAGGACCTGCTTTTTCTAACCTTTTATTTCTCTGACTCCAGGCTGGTCATGCAGCATTAAACTTTGACAAAGCCACAGACATCTTGACAGGTCTGAAACACAAAACCTTCTTTGGGAGACCTATGTGGGATAATGAGTTTTCCACAATAGCTACCACCCACCCCAAGTAAGTGCATTCTCCTCTAGTTTACAGACTTAGGGTTTAGGAAAGGTATGATGAACACCCTTGGGAAAAGATCTCTGGGCGGCTCACTAATCTAGTTAGCACTTAACCACTACAGGGCACTACATCTGAGCGTCAGTTCTCAATAGTATAGGCAAAGCTGAGTGCTGAGTGTGATAAAGGCTAAGAACACATTTGGTGCTTGCAAGAAGAAAAAGTGAGAAAACTATGAAGAATGTTAGAAGGGTGTCAGCGACTGAATTTCTATGCAGGGTTGTCAGTAGTAGAGGCCTCATCATTTTTCCATGCTCACTAACATCACAGCCTTTACTGTATTCTAGCCAACTATTCTATTCTTACAGGTCTGTGGTGGGAGTCTTCTTATGTGGTCCCCAGTCTTTGGCAAAGAGCCTGCGCAAATGTTGTCACCAATACTCCAGTCTGGATCCTAGGAAGGTTCAATTCTACTTCAACAAAGAAAATTTCTGACTTATAGGAATAAGGACCATAATCTGCATTTAGTCTCTCCTTTGTATCTTCAAAAACTTACTTGGTCTGGTCAAGTTTGGGCAGCTACTTAAAGACAATAATGTACCTCTTAAGCCTTGACTCCCTGGCATTCGTTTTTGGTTGGATTCAATTTTGTTTTCGCTGAACTTCAAGAACCTAAGAACTTTAGAAGTCACAATAATTGCAAAGCCCATGGGGCCTTTCCTCGGAGAATAACCGTGAATCATTTTGGAATGTAATGACCACAGCAAGGCCTGATAGCAGAGGTGGGTGACACTTTAACCCCAGGTGATTTTGTTGATTGCAAGTGTTACTATCTCCTGGACTTTGAGTCATATTCTCCCCTCCCCCCCGACCCTCAAAAAAATTTCTAAGTAGGGTGCTTTTTTAAAATAAAAATTTATTTAAGAATAAATGACAAAACATAAGCATAAATAAAACATAAAATTACCAAGAACCCCATCCCTATATACACTATGTACATTCTTACTGTTATTTTTAAACATGGTCTTATCCAGTGTGAACAGCTATTTATGCTTTATTTTTGTTAAAAAAAAATGGATTTTCTTCTTTGATTAATAAATATTTTGTTACTTTATCTAGGCTCTCCATTTGGGAAAGAAAACCTTGAAAGTATGCTAATCATAACTGAAATAGTATAACTGAGAGTCAGCTATACTGTCATTAGCTTATATTGCTCTGTTGGAAATAATTGTGAAAACTTGAACTCAATCTTAGGACAATTTATTTAGTCAAGCAGGGGCTCTTTATCATCATTTTTATTAAGGGGGTTTATTAATCTCTAGTTTTAAAAAAAGATAATTTAGAATCTTGGTAACAGTATTTTTTGCTCCTACCTACTTATTCATTATGAAATCACTCCCCTAATGACATAAGCAAAATGACTTTTCTTTCTCCTGTCAAAATGCTTTTTTATTTCTCTCATTCTCCTGATTTTGGGATATTAGTAGTCACAGTGAATCAGTAGAAGGAAAGAAGACCAGGGCCCTTAAAAGAGAGAAAAAACCCATACTTTATTGTGCCCATAGACAATTCAACTTATCAGATTTATAAGAATGTTTCTCCTGAATTAGCATTATAGCACCTATTTCTTTCTCTATCATTAAATTACCAAAAATGAATAAATGAGTGTTTCTAATTATCCGGAAACCTACATGACTTGAAGGATTAGTAAGACTGATTTTTTTCAGTCACTGGTCTGAACAAAATAAAGGTAAGCCAGGAACTCATGGTAGTGAATTATGTTTCATTTATTAATTGGCCATCAGTAAAAAGTACTAATGGATGTTTCCATAGGAATAGATTTGGGTACCTCTACTGTTGCCAATTTCCTGGATTTCAGCTGTCTAAATTTAATAAGGCTTTAGAAAAATGCACAATGGCATCTTGACAATATGGTTCCTATTAGACAGCTGCTGATCAAATGATAATTTGATTTTCAATGACTTTGGTTTGGAATCTTAGTATTCCTTGAATGAGTTCCTAATGATAAAGACTTCCCTCCTGTTGATCCCAATGTCTAAATTATATGGATACTTCCCATATATGACTGCTGCTAAAACCAACATATCAAGTTCTAGAATACTCATGGAAGTAGGCATCAAAGGTAATAATAATAAATCCTATACATAATCAACATTCAAGCCCAAATGTGGATGTGCAGGACACCCAGAAAGCTCCTAAGCTGTTTTGGGCAAGTTTTTCTTCCTATGTTGTAATATGAAGTATTTTATTCAGCAAACTCTTATAGTAAATGTTTATATATCAGAGTAGAAAATCCCTCAATTTTAATGTCTCTCATAAAGTTGATTATCTTTGCATTCTTTTGCTTGACATGTAAGCAATATGCTATTACATTCTCTAAGCCTATTGCAGGCTTTTAATTCATTTGACCATAATCCTAATCTGGGGGTAGGATTCTGAGGCTATAAACAGGCTTGAGTAGTTCCAGTGGAACTTTACTAATTATTAAGGCACCTCATAACCTCTTGAGGTTGGCCTCATGGAGAGAAATCATGTTCTTCCTTAGTGCCACTATGAGAGAGCGAACACTAGGCTGGAAGAGCCATAGTTTAGAGCTAGGACACTAATTATGTTCATATCTATCTGTAAAGAAACAGGTAGGGGAGGGCCTAATGAGCAATCTGACTGCTTGTGGTCTACATTTGGTCCTCTTAAAATAAATAGGAATGTAAAAGCTTTAGGGTTTTCTATGTTTTAATTTCCCAGGACAAATTTGGTTATAGGATAGGCCTATAGGTTAGTGACTATCTAAAAGGTAGGATGAAATATATTTTGTTCATTTTATTTCTGTTCAGTTTTTATTTTATCTTGAACATATGAAAAAGTAGTGGCTTTTGCAACTTTTAAGTTGCAAGTCTACCCAGACTGAAGAGTTTTAGAACAGACAAGGAAATATCCACAGTCTTTGTGTTGTTGATACACTAGAACCAGTGGCTAATACATCTTTGTCTTAACTCTGAACTATGCATGTGAATTGACCTGCTATTGACAAAAAACACATTTTGATATTTGGATTTTTCTAAACTAAACACTGCTCTGCTAGGCTCTTTGCTTTGTTGGCCTTTTGACCATTTTATAGCTCTAAGCACATGCTACTTTCTTCCATTAGATTCAGAAATTCTAGCAAGTTCTCAAAGGGCAATTGTTATTATTCCCACTGGAAGCAAAGTAAAAACTACGTTTCAAAAAAACATTGTTTCTGAGAAATTCTCAAATAATCATCAAGAAGAATAAATGGTTAACTGAAAAGAAAAACAGAGCTATGGCAATAAAACATTGAAGTACAATATTGCAGTAAGGGTAGAAAATACATCTAAGGTTTCACCCTTGGTATTCAGCTTTTTAAAAGCAAAAAGGTCGTGTATATCAATTTGCAGTATACTAAAATTGTGTTCAAAGTTTATTTCATGTCACAGAAAATATACAAACTAAGACAACATAATGATCTAGTTTGTTTCTGAGAGAAGGTGATGGGAATCCTCCACCTGGCACCAATTTGAGTCATTCAAGGGTTAGGATGTAGAAGTCATCTTTTTGCAAAATTTCAACAAAGTTACTGAATTAATTTCCAGATTTGTTGCCAGGTATTTCTGAAAACCTGTAAGGAAAAGTTGGGAGAAAGCATTAGAAGTGGAGACAAAGTTCTCTTCCCCAAACATCAGGAAAAAAAAAGGTCGGGGAGGGAGACTATGCATAAGAGCAAAATACCAGGGGCAGACTCCTAAGCTGTCTGTCTCCTGCCTCTCAAAAGTAATCAGCCTTTATAGCAGGGTTTCTCAACCTTAGTACTACAGACATTTGGGGTCAGATAATTCTTTGTTATGGAGCGATGTCCTGTGCATTATAGGATATTTAGAAGCATCTCTGGTTCCTACCAGTAAATGCCAGTAGCACCATCCCCCAAAGATGTGACAACCAAAAATGCCTGTGGTTGAGAACTGGTATTCTAATGATAATGGTATATAAGCCTGTCAGTGGTGGCAGTGATGGATCACAGCTAGCGAGGTATAGGATGGAGGAAGAGCCAATATTTTGGCAAAAGTATGCACTGATACCAGCAAATAAACATTAAAACCTTGCTTGTGTAAATTGCATAGAACTACATATACACAACACACACATACACACAAATTAATGTAGGCTTAAAAAAATGGTGAAAACTCCATTGTGCATATCTGACAATCCTCAGAAGAGGGGGCTCAGGGGGGAGGGAAGAGATAAACCACAGAACTTATATGCATGTATGCATAACCGATGGACATGGACAACAGCTGGGGACGGGGTGGGGGTGGGGGATGGGGAGGAGGGTGTCAATGGGGAAAAAAGGAGAAATATCTATAACAAAAACAAATTAATAATAAAAAAAAAAATTTAAAAAATGGTGAAAACCGTGTAAGGTCTGTAGTATAGTTAGCAGTAAGGTGCCAATGTCGATTTCTTGGTTTTGTACTACAGACCAAAAAGGTATTGTACATCAGCTTCTCAAGATGTTATCACTGGGGAAAACTAAAGGAAGGGTAGGTACATGAGGTACTATTTTTCCAACTTCCTGTGAATTTACAATTATTTCAAAATAAAAGGTATAACAAAATAAATGATAAAACAAACAAACAAACAAAAAACTTGCCCTGAGGTTTATGTGCAAAGCTTTGAAATGAGATATATCATAAGCAAGAATACATAATAAAAGAACTTTCAGAAACATTTCCATCTCCATTACCCCAAAACAGTAATTTCCTCACATTGCAGGGAATGCCTTCTCTGGCATAAATAAATTAGAAAAAGCAAAAGAGAGGAAGTGTTGTTTTTAACTATTCCTCTGAATATAATAGGTACTCTATACTTTTACTGAAGAAAAATAAAATGCCTTCGGTATGTGAACTAAAAAATTAAAGTACTGGTCAGACTGAAAGTCTAGCTACCCATTCATCTATGATAGATATGATGTTTATTTCGAGTCTGGATGTTTTAATGATACTACACATATGGATTAAAATACAATGTATTTAGTAAAGACTGCTAAATAGTGTAAATGAATTCACTATTATATGATGATATATGGATGGAAATTATAATACAAATGGGGTAAAAAGTAGAAATTTCAACTGATATTGGGACAATGTTAATTTTAAACTTTTTAGAAAACAGTAAACAGTTTCATATACATTGTTTATGAAATACGAGCTGTTGCAGAAAAATTTTAAAAAGGAAACACTAAAAATAGAGAAATGTCCTCGGGTGAGGATAAAAAAAAAAAATAAAAAAAATAAATAAAAAGGAAACACCGATACATGTAATCAAGTTAGGTCACATGGTTATGATCCTTTTTACATGAGTGATGAGCAAGAAAAGTAAGGGCAGCAGTGCATAGCAACCTCTCAAACATATAGGGACTGATGATGATGGTGGATATTCACTATCTTACTTATGTGTTGCAATTGTTCAACCTTAAAATATTCAATATAAATACTAGAAACTAAAACATTTATACATTTTACTGAAATGCTTTGTATTTTTCCCATTTTAATGGGACAGTTTGGAATAACACAACACAACTATTCTGGAAGGATATATATATATATCAAACTACATATAGAGGTTATGCCTGGAGATTGCGATTAAGGAAGCAGAGCTTTTTACCCCAAATTTTTCACATTTCTGTATTTGATTAATTTTGTTAAATTGATTGTATGTTACTTTTGCCATAAGGAAAGAAAGGTTAAAATGATTATAGCTAATTCAATAGCTGAACAAATGCCCTGTAGCCTTTTGTTATCCTGATAGGGGCTGACCTACTGAAGGGTGAAGAGTCTAGCCTAGAGGAGTATAGGCTTCAGAGTTTTGAGATCAGGAGAGTCTTGTTGGTTAAAGTTGGAAATATATACCCCAAATGCACAAGGAGCTTGTCTGACTCAGGCCAGGTAAGTCTGCTTACCTTTCATTGTCTGACTCAGGCCAGGTAAGTCTGCTCACCTTTCAAGGTGCTCCAGTGGATTTCTGTATTTGTTCCTTTAAGATCAGGATACTCTGCCTCTGTTCAGGAGGCAGCATGGCGATCTGGTCTGCAGTCAGTTGAAGAACCTGCATAATTAAAGCAGCCTGTGAAGAGCAAAAAAAGGTAGTGAATTTTAATGATAGTAGCTTTAAAAAAAAAAAAAAGCCAACACCAGCTTTGGTCCAAAAGGAAAAATATTTTACACATAGAAAATGGCTCCTCAAATCAATCCAAACCAAACCAAAAAATACCAAAACCATCTGGTGAGAAAAGGCATAATGAAAAGCACAAGAACAATACCTAAGATTAGAAGACTTGAAATAGACATCTTTATGAACCCAAAGTTCTCGCAGACTAAAATGGTATTTGTGAACCCTGGGAAATTTTCAGTTTTAAAAATATATTTCTGTTGATTTTTAGAGAGAGAAGGGAGAGGGAGAGAGAAAGAGAAACATTGATGTGAGAGCAGAACATTGACAAGAGAACCTCCTGCATGCCCCCTACTGGGGATAGAGCCTGCAACCTGGGCATGTACCCTGACCAGGAATCGAACCAGCAACCATTTGGTGCACAGGACAAGGCCCAACCAACTGAGCCATTCCAGCCAGGGCGAGTTTTCAGTTTATAATTGTTTTCAACGTCTCTCCTTTTCTCAAGTTTTAGCCCTTCCATAAGACATGAGCTCCCCACAATGGTCAAATACAGAAACAGAAAGATACTTATAGGGAATCGGCTACTGTTTTTTAGGGAAAAGGCAGAAAAGGGAAGAGGGAAGGGATTTGGCCTGCACAAAGAAACGGCTATTGGAAGATGAGTCTGAAATAAAAGATAAGCTGCTATTTACATACATCTATTTAAGGATTTTAGGATAGGCCCACAAATTTTCAGGTTAACAAGATCATAAAGAGTTCTAAGAGTAAACATCACTTCCAAAGGGACTCTGAAAATCCAGGACTCACACACGGTAACTAAAAAGAAGAGTCCAAAGAATTTGTGTACATTGAGGCAGTTAGGCGGAGTTGCTTACCTTCTCATGGTCCTGTGGAGTGACTTGGTTCTGGCCAGGACTAAAGCCACCGGGCTGGCCTCCACCCTGGATATTTGCTCCTTGCATGCCTGCTCCCTGCATGACTGGGACCTATGTGCACAAAGAGAAACGAGGAGAGATTTTTGGAACTTCTCATCTAGGCAGCCAGAATCCAGTAACAGCGATGTTAAAAATATGATCTGATTATGGATATGAGTAAGAAAAGCAAATTAATGATTCTGAAGATCAACTCTTACTGGTAGCAATGGCAGAAGGCAGGGTTTAGGCAGAGATCAATTAGCAAGTTAGACACATTTGCTTACAACAGCTCCAGCATCAACAAATATCACACAGCACAACTGGATACCATCAAATCAAGCAAAATTCAGCCACATAAGCACAGAGAAAACAGAGCATCCTGGAAACTAGTGTTCAGTGGAAATAGAAATGAAAGCTGACAGATTTTAGAGATAATGGATGCTGGTCCACTGGGGAAGCTACATTCACAGGGATACCGCCTACCTCTAGTTCAATCAGACATAGGTTGTTCATCCCAAAGGGCCCTATCCCACAAGTAAGGCAGAGACGATCCTAATGGCAGAGGCAGAAAGGAGATGGGAAGGCCTCTGGGGAGAAGATTGCTATTAGCCCAATATTTGTTTTTTTGTAACTTTCCAGAGAGAATATGCAGCAGATGCTAAATACATACCAAAAAACATGACTGACCCACATTAAAAGAACAAAGTGCAGTTATAACATACTTATTAATATTTAATATCTTTGGTGAGTTCCATCTTTGAAAAGACTACCAGAACCCAGGAAAAAGCCTCAGAGCACCTAAAGTAACTGTTAAATAGTCCCTATGCAGGAGTTATGTTCACATTCAGGCATTCACCCAGAGCTTAGGTACTCTTATTATAAAACACAAATTGTTAACAAACATGTTACCTGCTTCCCCAGCAGATTAGAAGCAGCAAAGCATAAAAGAAATGAGGATAGACTGTTAGGAGCAGATACCATGACAGCAATATGAGGAGCCAGGTGACAGCCTGACGGTGAAGAAAACTAGAAACCAAACAGGAAATAACTCTGCTTTCTATTATAGCATATACAATAATACATTTAATGATGACCTTGAGTAGTCAAATGGCTAAAATAAATTTTTGTATTCTGTTTAAGAAAGAAAGCATAATACACTTTATAAGTTACTTTTTCATTCGAGTAGTTTAAAAATTTGGTAGAATAGTTTTATTATATAGAACATTCACTTACATACATTAACTCATTTCCTAAAGACACTAGAGGTGAAGCATTGGTGTGGCTTTGTACAGCTTGCTAAAATATTATCACTTCCCGTTATCAATACTGAATCCACACACAAGTCTGAACTTTCATAGTCTGCTACAGACCTGAAACATCTCTGAGAATAACCGTTTTGAAGCTTCAGTCAATACTAATTTGAAGTATTCTAATGTGATCTAATCATTCACTAACTGCCATTTAAAGTTTCCAGGAGTGTCTATTCTAGGCAGAGAAGTAATAGGGGGTGATCACACATCTAGGTTTGCCTACGACAGTCCCAATTTATGCTTTTGTCCCAGAGTAAATACAACAGTACTCTCATTCTCAAATGTGTCCCGGTTTGATGAGAAGTTCTTTAATCACTCTAGCAACAGTAATTCTTTTACTGATGAGTTTCCAACTTATATGTACTAAAATTAATTTTAAAATCTGATTTAAAATGATTAAGGATATACTGTTAAGTAAAAAAAGAAGGCACCGAACAGTGAGAAGGAAAAAAATATGTGTAAATTCATGGTTGAAAAAAATAATATTCTTATTTGCTAGAAAGATACATTAAAATCTAATAAAGGCAATTATCTATAGGAGATGGGGGTCACAGGGGAGATAGGTACAGGGGAAGAAGTGAGGTTCTTATTATATATCTATTATATATGAGTGAATGTAGTTTATATATTTATTTATAAGTCTACACACTGACCTAAACAATTTTTTAAAAGGTCTGAAAATAAGATTTTTATTTTCTCTACCTCAGATCTAATTGGCTTTATAGAATCTACTAATGAAAACTATGTAAGCCTAATATTACAGAGTAATGATTTCAAGTACTAGCAGAGATAAAGGAGCAAGCCATTATCCAGAAATAGTGTTCTAACCACTATTTTCAGTGTCTTTGTCCACAGAATTATTGACAGAATTACATAAGCACACATGTAGTATTTGTTGTCTGTTTCCCCGACTAATGGAAGCCCATAGGAGTAGGGACTTCCTTTGTTCACACTGCTATATCCTTAGTACCAATAGCTCTGTCTGGTACATAGTAGGTGCTCGATAAATATTTGTTGAATGACTGAATGAACACATAAAAACCATTTTTATTATGAGGCTACTGACCATAGTGGGCACAATAAACATTGAGGTCCATTAACACATTTTTTAAAAGCACAACTTGAAAAACAATAGAGAACAGTTTCCTTCTACACACACCAGAAACAACATACTCATAGTCATTTTAAAGAGGGGGAGGTAGACACACATTTACACATACACAACATGCAGGTAACAGGACAGAGTGGTACAGTGGAAAAAACAGTGGGTCCTAGTCTTTGCTCTGCCACTTTTCAGTTGTGTGAATTTAGACAAGTCACCTGAATTCTTGGGTCTCAGTTTCCAAACCTACAAAATGAGAGAATTGGATGATTGACATGTTCCATTTCAGCTCTGACATTCTCTCCTCTCTTCCTCTCTCCTTCTCTCTCTCTCTCTCACACATACACACCACATACAAGGGGAGGAAGACACAGAAGCATATGAAAGAGAAAAGAGAAAGAACCAGGAGGAAGACACATAGGAAAGAGGAAGGTGGAGGGGCTAGAAGAAGATGAAGGTTCTAGTATATACAAAATCAGGGAAGATACACACCTCCCCACAACCAACTGGGGGTGAAGAGGAAGGAGATGACAACAGGCAGACAATCACAGACAACCACATACTCTCATAGCTGGAGAGAGACAAATAAAAAGAAAGCAGAGATAAGAATTCAGTTCCATGGGTTTTAAGGTGAGCATCAGTAAACCACCTTTTGTACTCACTGTTCGTTTAGGCAATGAAATGAAAGCAAATTAAAACAGGTATCTGCAAACCTAAGATTATCTAAATGATCACTAAGAACTCTTCATATGCTCTAATGTAGTGGCTCTTAGGGTTGCACATTAGAATCATTCAGGACAGGTTTTTTTTTTTTGTTTTTTTTTTTAAATGACCCATATCTAGATTCTATGGATATACTCTTTTTTTAAAAAAAATTATTTATTGATTTTGAGAGAGAGAGAGAGAGAGACAGAGAGAGAGAGAGAGAGAGAGAGAGACAGAGACAGAGACATCGATTTGTTGTTCCACTTATTTATGCATTCATTGGTTGATCTTTGTATGTGACCTAACCAGAGGCGAACCCCAACGTTGGGGCATGGGGCTGACGTTCTAACCAAGTAAGCTACCCAGCCAGGGCCCACATATACTCTATCTCTGAATTTTCAGGTCCTCTGCTCTGAATAAAAGAGATCATAAGATTGTGAGACAAAGATGCTCTTTTGGACTATAAACATGTTAACCAGAAAATCACTACCCTAAGGGGCAGAGAAACTAAAGGGAAGGAGATTCTAATCTTCCCCACCAAGCTGAGAAGTAGCCCAAATCAGAAAGCAATAATAATCAGGCTCAATAATCAGTTCTAGAATAGATCGAGATTTCACATAGAAGCCAGAAGTGAATGTGTCATACATACCTGTCTGGATCCCTGGGGGCCAACTGCCCCCATGTTAATAGGATTGGGACCCTGGATTCCACTAGGTATAGGGCCTCTAGGGCCAGGGACTGGGCCCCTTGTATCCATGCTTCTGGCCTCCATCCCTCTAACTTCCATTGCACGGGCCTCCATTGCACGGGCCTCCATTGCACGGGCCTCCATTGCACGTGCTTCCATTGCACGAGCCTCCAATCCTCTGGCATCTAATCCTCTTGCCTCCATGGCTCGTGCCTCCATGGCTCGTGCCTCCATCCCTCGTGTGTCTATGCCTCGGGGATCTCTTCCGCCTATAAAGTAAGGTCCAAGAAAACCATTGTATAGCTATCCACCTTTACTGCAAGAAGAATCAACAACCCAAGAAAGACAGAAATTAATTCCTCTAGTTACATCTCCCCCCAACTATGGGAGACTTTCTCCTCACCAGTTTCTCAGATTTGCAGATAAACCTTAAAATGCTTGCCAACCCTATTGCCCCAGCATTCTTTATCCCAGATTAGAGCCTAACACAGCCGGGTTTATCACCAACCCACAACTACCAGTCAGTGTTGTGATGTGGTCTGCCCTTACCTCTGCCATCCAAGGGTGGACCCCTCTGATCTAGCATGGGTCCTCTTGGCTCTGCCATTAGAGGTCTGGGCTCGGCTAATGGCCCTCCCCTCATCTCATGTGGGGGCGGGCCACGGTTGTCATGGCCAGGGACATGGTGCATGGGTGGACCCTGATGAGGTGGTCCCAGGTAACCTCTACAGATGGAAAAAATTATTATATTTTAAAACAGAACCCTAGAATAAGACAAAAGTGTCAACCAAAAGATCAGTAAGTAAAAATCAGACAAAGAACTGATGCAAACATCAGTCTATGAATGCTAAAAAAATAACACCAAACAGGTTGAAGAAAAGCTATGGAGATGTAAATCAACATATTCTAGAATTTCATATTTGGTCAGGGTACTCATAATTAAGGAATTAATGGATATCTATTACATATAATGAGTATGTAGTATAGTGCTTAAGGACATTGTTACCATATGGGTTCAAATCTAGGCTCCACCACTTATTAGCTGTGTGATCTTGGGCCCATTTACTTAACTTCTCCATGCCTCGGTTTCTTCATCTGTAAAATGGGACTGATATTAGTATCAATCTCACAGGTTTGTGTGGGTTTAATGAGATGATCTAAATAAAGTACTCAGAGCAGAGTCAGAGGCATAATCCCCATTAATACCAATTATTATAATACTATTTTTATTGCCATTATTAATAAGCAATATAAGTTTTTCCTGTCTAGGTATGTGGGCTAGAATTTCTAATTTCTGAAGATGGGAGTAGCCATGGTTAGTTCAAAATGACATACTCAAGTACACAGTTCTGCCCAAGGAGAAGTGCTTAGTCTTGAACAGCAGCTAACAGGTACAACTGGTGTGGAAAGACTTTGTTCTCAAAGCAAGGAAAAATTCTGATTCCTCTAAGCTTTTCCTTCCATGTCATTGCTTACCTAGGCTCTACCTCTCCAGTTACAGAAAGTAAAGTGCCCCCACGTGGGTCATTTGGAGCATCTCCTAACAGACCTCGAGGAGTTGGGATGTTGGCAGGCAAGGGCCCACGCTGCATAGCTGCTCTGGGGTCTTGCATCGGCACTGACAGGGAAACAAATGGGGAGTTACTGCTGTGAAGACACATAAGGAAACAAGAAATGACTCTATACACCACTGACAACATAATTCAGACACCTTACAGCGGGTGAAACTTCACCACAGCAGATTCCTCTTGCAGCTCAAGAACAGAAGCAGGGTGTAGGCAGAATCTGTGCCATGTCAGAGGTATGGATGGAATCATATAAAGAGAAAACTGGGGAGCAACCTGCCAAGGACTAGCACTGCAACCCGAAGAAACTTATGCTCCTGGTTTTCCTTATAATCAATCTTAGTTCAAGGACTAGAGTCACAAAAGAGAGGTAGGGTCTTGGTATATGTGAACACTGCCATGGCTCTGCAAGAACCTGCTGTCTCCTTACAGACTGCTATTCCATCCAAGCCTCCTGACACCAGTAGGGAGGGAGTACAGCCTCGGACAGATGCCCATATCATCCATGTTCTCTGCCCTGTGTGAAGAGGTCAATCTTAGGCTTGTGGCCCCAAGAGGAAAAAATTAAAAAACAAAAACCCAAAACACTGCCCTTTTGGGTTCTGAACGTGAGGATGACTGCCAAGCAGCCCTTGTCCTCTCAACGTCCCACCCTGAACACCACAAGCAAAAGGAAACCCACAGATACAATGGGTACCTTGAACTCGCTCAATTGATGCAGGCCCGGCAGGTCCCACGGGCGAGTGCTGTAGGGTTCCTAGGTGAGCAGTAAGTTGCAAAGGAGAAAGAGCAGACACTTAAAACGGCTTGCACATGCACACAGAAACATCCACACAGGCACCAGAGATTTAAACATGTAAGTTAAAAAGCCAAGAGTTCATTAGTTTGCCACTGCAAGTCTTTGATAATAAACAAGCATCACGGCAACAGCAAACAAAGACTAATGAGATGACAAGGGTACTAACACTAAACAAAGGTGGCAGAAGGCAAGAGGAAGTATATTCTTAAACATCTGTCTCCTTTCACCATTACAAATGTGCCAAAGAAACAAGGATTCCAGGAAAAGAAAGACAAACTAGGTACAAATGGAAAGAGTCTTGCTTCCTTGCTGGGTACTGAAGGAAAACCATAAAAGGAAACTCATCTCATTTTGTCTCTTCATGAGGACAGACTTGATACACCTTCAAAATTCGAGCCATTTCCCTTTATTAACTTTTGACCAGAAAAATGAAGATAACTATAGAAGGAAGGAAGTATGATTGAAACCCCAATTCCTTTGCACTACTGTAAAAATACTTTAGGATATATGCACAATCTACTGATTAGCTGAGGGGAGTGGGGCACCATTGCACAAAAGCATGGGATGCTCAAAAGAAGTATTTGGCCAAGAGCTTGTCCTACTATCAACCACCTGACAAGATTATTAATTATCATTTCGGTAACCAATCCCAGTATACATAGACAAGGAGTTAGTATCTAGTCCCATTTCTTAATATTTTGCTTAAAAGTAGGTTTCACTGATAGGCCATAAGCTAAGAAGTAACTTAAGCTTCTCTGTGCTTGTCCAAAGAAAATATTTTTGGAAGTTAATAGAGGTGGTGTGGATTAACAAAAAGAGGACAGATTCTAGAATCAGAGACTTCAGAATCTTAGCTCTGTCACTTAGTAGCTGGAAGAGAAGATGAGTGCCCCAAGGCTAGTCCATGTTACTCAGATATAAGTATTAACTTACCATGTCTCCTTCATTAACTAAGTCAAAACTCTGAGCTTCCATCTCTTTACCTGAAAACTGAGGTGCTGCCCCCTAACTCACAAGGTTGTTTATGAAAATGAAAGTGCCTGACCTACAGTATGCACTCAGTTTCGTTAGTTCCTTCTGTTTGCTCATTCTCTCTCCTCCTAATATTGTTTTCAAATGAACCACTGCATATACCTTTTCTTCAAACTCCAGTAACATAGAGAAATAATGTAGAGATTTTGAGTGCCTGCCCCTGTGGTATCCAGTGTTAATGCCACAGTACAACATATAACTATCAAGTAGGCTTCATAGACTTTTGGTCCCCTCCCAGTTTTCTCTGGGGTTTCAATTTAGTCTTCCACATACCCAGCCACAAATTACATGCTCATTTAAAAAACTGCTTAATCAACAGATACTCATAGAGGGAGAGTGAACATGTCAGCAGAATCGTTAGACTATCAGGAAAAGGTGATATAAATTAAATGGCAACAAAAGATCCTTTGCTTCATCATAAATTCTTGTAGAGATGGGCTCTGAATTACTAGATGGAAAGTCTAGACAAGAGGTGTCCAAATGAATTTTCTGCAACAATAGAACTGTTCTATATCTGTAATATCCAGAAAGGTATCCATTAGCCCCATGTGGCCATTGGCCAGTTATAATATGGAAATGAATTTTAGATTTCACCTAATTTAATTTTAATTACTTTAATATTCAAATAGCTATATGTGGTTAGTGGCCGCCACACTGCCACCTTACAGTGCAGATATAGAACATTTCCAAGTCCAGTCCACATTAATCAGATATTATTATTTATTTACCTTGTGCCCTTTCCAACGACACTGGTCCACTTCCTGGCATTCCAACCTGGGCCTGCATTCCTCCTAGAATATAAAGGACAAAAAAGAAAAGGCAAATTAGAACAGTGGGGAAAAAAAATTAGCACAGTGGCTGAATTAACAAATTTCCTCTTTCTGCCCCACAAGCAGAAACCTATAAAGGAAGATAACTACCATCAAACAATGCAGTTATATAGAAGATGGGAATTTGTTAGTATACTTTAAGCTTCAGTGACAGAAGTGAATTAAATAATACTTAATCTCATTGGTTATCAATACCTTGGCAGGAAGTTCTGTAATACAGAACAATGGCACTTAACATAACTCCTCTTAAAGGAGACTACACTGTTTCCAGGGTATTTTGTAAATATATGGGTACACTGTTTCAGTTGTAAGAAAGATTTGTGGGGGCATGGCTAGCATTTAATGAGAAGCAAACAGGGATCCTGCAATGTATGAGATAGTCCCACAAAATCAAGAATTACCCTGTCTTGCAAAACTTTCAAAGGTCTTGTTGAACATTCACACAAATGCAAACCTGTTTATGGTCATCTGAACTTAAAATCAAAGTCTGTTTTATTTTTAAACAAAAAGGTCCTTTGCCCTGTTTATAGATGTGTTATATTTTCCAGAAATTCAGTTCTTGAGTAAATTATGGGTATATTTTGTTTTGTTAATAACTTTACCAAGAGCCCTGGCCAGTGTGGCTTGGTTGGAGTGTAGTCCCATACACTGAAGGGTCACAGGTTCGATTTCTGGTCAGGGCACATACCTGGGATGAGGGTTCGATCCCCCAGTTGGGGTGTGTACCAGAGACAACCAATCGATGTCTCTCTCTCTCTCTCTCTCTCTCTCTCTCTCCCTTCTTCTCTAAAATCAATAAAAACATATCCCCGGGTGAAGATTAAAAAAAATAAAAAGAACTTGACCAAGAATATTCACCATTTCAAAAAATCGCATTATCATTGTCAACAGTCCTTGTGGTATTTGAGTTGCCAAAAAAACCATACCTGTATCTGTCCACATTTGTAGCTTTTACAGTCATGGTATAGGTATAAGCATTTGACTGCCACCTTTGATTTTCTAGTGTAATTTTGCCTGAATGCTCATATATCAAAAATATTTTGTTATAAATGAATTTCTTTTAACTTATCCTTTATGTTACAGTTATGGCATTATACTGATTTTTTTTTTTTTAGAAATCATGTTAAGTAGGTTATATCATCTGTGCATTTCATTTTAGGATAGTAGAGTCACTGCAAAATGTCTGTTATGAAGAGGGGCCACTGGGTCTAACAGAGTTGAGAACCACTGGTGTAGTCTAACCAGTCAGGCTACGATGACTGCTATACAAAGAATAATCATGTACCACAAGTCCTTGTCTGGTCCTTTCCACACAGAAATACTTATTTTTCCTCAAAGGAACAATATATGCTGCAAGTGGGGAAAATAGACAAGCTGAACTGTTTGCAGTCATTAGTACTTACCTGAAATATTAAGTCACATTTCACATTCTCATATTCCATTTGACATGCCATACATCAAAGAGCCATGGATAAAAAACCTGAACCTGTGCTAGCTCAAGCCCTGCTACTAAGTGTGATTTTGAGCAAGTAATTTGATAAAATTAATGTATTTCCAGGCTACCTCATACATAATGTGAAGGAGTTGGCCTAATACCAGTGGTTCTTAGAATATGGTCCTCAGACCAGCAGCGTCAGCATCACCAGGGACTTGTCAGAACTGCAAATACTAAGGGTCCTACCTCAGACCTGCTGAATCAGAGTCTGGAGGCAGGGACCAGCAATATGTGTTTTAACAAGCTCTTTTGGTGATTCTACTATAAACTAAGTTTAAGAACCACACATCAAATTGATTTCTGAGTTGTCTTATAGCCATAACATTTTATGATTTATTCAGACCACTCCAAAATGGTACAAATATTTAGGATCCGAAGAAAGTGGTGGCAGAAGAAATTATGGGCATAATTTCTCATGTTATAAACTATCACACAATGGCACTTCTATTGTATGCACTAGCTTCCCAGAAGTGGAATTGGTGGGTCAAAGTGTATATGAATCTTTAATGTGAGACACTTTCTTAAAAATCTGAAAAACTTCACATTTCCAGCAATGTAATTAATTATACATTTCCCATCAATGGCGTCATCTCTCTCTCTGAAACTTTCGCTAGTCAGATGGGTTTAAGTAAAGCAAAATCTTGCTATTTAATTTGCAGTCCCCTGACTATAAATGAATTTGTTCTTGCTGCTATTTGGATTTGCTCTTCTATGAAGTGCCCACCCATTTTCTTTACCTAGTTTCCTAGTAGTTATTCTCCCTTCTCATTAACTGTCAAAAGCCTTGTAAGGGCACCTCAAAAATCTTAGTGAAGTTTTCATAACTTAAGTATAAATGCTACAAATGCACAAAAAAATCACTTGAAAATGCATTTACACTTAATACCAACTTTTAAATTTATTAATTCCCCCTTCTTGATATCATTTAAAAAAATATTTTTCTAATTCTTTAAAATTAGGACTTAAAGTTCCTTTATTTTTTTAATAATCTAGGCATTTAAGGATATTCATTTTCCTTTAAGTACTGCTTTAACTATTTCCTGTAGTATTTTTTAACATAAAATGTACTATTTTGTAGTCTTTTAGATAATTTGTACATTTCTATTTTTTCTTTAATTCAAGAATTACCTAGAGTGTTTCTATTATAAGTTTTTTTCAGTCACCTTTTAATTATTTATTTATAATTTTATTGACTTCTAATCAGAGAATGCAGCCTGTAAATTCTCTATAGTTTAAAATGTGTTTTTGTTTTATGGCTATGTACATGGCCATGTTTTGTTTTTGTTTTTTTTACTGTGCCATTGTCATTTGGGGGGGTACATTCTCCAGTCAAAATACATAAGGTACCTTCTATATCAGCGACTCTCAACCTGTGGGTCGCAACCCCTTTGAGGGTCGTACGACCCTTTCACAGGGGTCGCCTAAGACCATCGGAAAACACATATTTCCGATGGCGATTCATAACAGTAGTAAAATTACAGTTATGAAATAGCAACGGAAATAATTTTATGGTTGGGGGTCACCACAACATGAGGAACTGTATTAAAGGGTTGCAGCATTAGGAAGGTTGAGAACCACTGCTCTATATATTAAATCAAACTTATGGATTCCATTATTTTATTCTTCAATGTCCACTAACACAATGCTACTCAAAGTATGGTCCACAGACAATGCTGATCCACACTCTGTGTTAATAGTTCATGGCAATGTAAGTACAGAAATAGAGAGCAGTCACTTAGAAGCCTTCTTAGCAATTTGACATCGCTGTGATATCTGAGTGCATAGTAAGTGCACTTGTCTTACTGAACAGGGTATTTGGACACTTTTCAACTCATGTAATGAGCTGCATATGTCACAGCTTGCATATTTGTCATGTAGTAGGATCACATTACAACTATTTAAGGTAAATTATGTACCTATAATTCATAAATGTATAAAATACAGAATCTATTTCACTGAAAGATAATTTAAGTTTAATTACAACACTACAGGAAAAATGACAATTGTGAGTTGATAAAATTTCTTTGAAAATCCTTTCTTCCATTTTTTGTCAACTTGTCTCTGTACAAAACAAAACACTTTAAAATTTTTTTCTTTATTGATTTTAGAGAGAGAGGAAGGGAGGATAGAAACATCAATGAGAGAGAACATTGACAGGCCGCCTCCTACATGCCCCCCACAGCAGATCGGGCCCACAACCTGGGCAGGTGCCCTGACCAGGAATCGAACCAGTGACCTCCTGGTGCATGGGTCGACGCTCAACCACTGAGCCACACCGGCTGGGCCAAAACAAAACAATTTAGATTCAAATTATGCCCCATGAGTAGTGTTACAGTCAATCTAACCCAGATTAGATAAATTAACAAGAATCAAGTTTGCTGTACAAAAAATTTTTAATATTGATATACATTGTGTGTTCATACAGATGTTTCATATGGGGAAATCATTATTTCACACATAACAATTGCTGAATGACGAAAAGCTGTAAGTGTAATAGCAACACTCTATTAATTCCTATATATACATTTTCAATGAACATACGAAGTTTTTAAAATTATTTTTTCCTTTTGCCTTGGTCTCAGTATATTTATTTTTTTATTGATTTTAGAGAGCGAGAGGACGAGAGAGAGAGAGAGACTGAGGGAGAGAAAAAAACGTTGATTTGTTGTTCCACTTATTTGTGCATTCATTGGTTAAGATTCTTGTATGTGCCCTTACGGGCAATGAACCTGCAACTCTGGCGTACCGGGAAGATACTTTAACCAACTGAGCTATCCAGCCAGGGCCTGGTCTGATTATATTTAATAAAACGTGATTTTATGTCTGTTAAATAAAAAGAAATGGGTCCATGTATCCTGTCTGTTTTTCTTTTTTTCCATGTGTTTTTACCCTAATCTAACAGTCTCTGGCTTTTAATGGAAGAATTCAGGCCATGCACATTTAGTAGAATAATGACTATACACAATTTTATTCCTTCCCGCTTACTCTACATTTATTATTACTTACTTCACAATATCGTTGTCTTTTCTTGGTATTTGCTGGCTTGGTCTAGTTTCCATTCATTCTAATTTTCCCTTCATTAATTTGGAAGACAGCTATGCTCACCACTATACCACCAATGCATTTTGGAAGTTTTACTGTATCTTTCCACTTTACTATTCTTTTCCCTGTTCTCATAATCAAACATAGGATTTGTATATAAGAAATCAACTATCTCTTCCACCTAATATATATATTTTCTAGTTGTGCATTAATTTTATATTAAGATCTATCCCATTTGCAATAAAAAAAAAAAAAAAACTTTAGCAAAACACCAAAATGGTGAAGATTCTAAACGCAACATACCTCCAGGAGCTAAGGAACCAGGGCCAGGTCCTGTTACAGCAGTTGGTATTTGCCCTGGTGCTGGAACTCCAGCCTGCATAGAAGCTTGCATCAAAGGAGGTGCACCATTGACATGCATGCCACCCTGATCAGGAGAAAAAACAGAGTAGTAGATACCTCTGTAGACACACAAAATCTATGACCTCAAATAACTCTTCAAATCGACACCCCAAATATTCTACCAAATATCCTTTTTGTATACACGTCTCATGCAGACTCAGGTTTATAACACACTTTTAACAGAAGATGTAATACACACGAAGAGCCTGGTTATAATACATTTAAGATGGACCTATTCTAAAAGTCAAGACTGACAAGTCTTATTTGTGTGGTGAGGCTACATGTAGCACCTATTGTTGACCTCATGACCGGGGCCTGGCAATAAGAGTAAAAACAAAAAAAGTGCCTTGAACTCAAGAAAAAGAGGAGACTGAGGCATTTTTATAAAGAAACTGGGGCAGTCTGTATTTTTAAGATGAAAATTTTAAAATCCAACCAATATTTTCTCATCTCTGTCCTGAGACATAATTCTGGTTTGGGAGAAATGCTGTATTTTTTAATGCTACATTAAAGCTCCTGGAGGGAAAGGGGCTGTTATGTTTTTTTTTTTTTTTTTATACTCACCCGAGGACATTTTTCCATTTTTTGTACAGACAGAGTGGGAGGGAGATAGAGAGAGGGAAACATCGACGTGAAAGGGACACATCGAGTGGCTGCCACCCACACGACCAACCAGGGCCGGGGACAAACTGCAACCAAGGTACGTGCCCTTAGCGGGAACCGAACCCTGGTCTCTCCGGACCGCAGGCGGGCGCTCTAACCGCTGAGCCAAACCGGCCAGGGCGGGGCTGTTATGTTTTAACCTGTGTATTCCCCAGAGAACTGAGCAGTCCCTTGGAACAGAAAGCTCAATAAAGAAAGAGTAAACGATAAGTTATATTTTAAAAAAAAATCACATATACTCTTAGAGAACACTGACAAAACCCTAAAACAGAACATTATATAGTGAGGTGGTTAGGAGAAAACAGGCTATGAGGTCATACAGAACCAGGTTTTAGATCCTGGATATTCCACTTATAATTATGCTATTTTTCGGCCAGTTAACCTCTCTGAATCTTAATTCATTTCATTCTATTTCTGAAAAAATATTTATTGAATTAGAGCAGGGGTTAGCAAACTATGGCTCATGAGCCAAATCTGACTTACTCCCTCATTTCATAAATAAGTTTGTATTGGAACACAACCACGCATATTTGTTTATTATGTATTGTCTGTGGCCAATTCCACACTCCAACAGCAGAGCTGAGTAGTTAGGACAGATTTCATGGTCTGCAAAGCCAAAAACATTTACTATTGGGCCATTTACAGAAAATGTTTGCCCACTCCACCCTAAACCTTTGTATGCTCCATCCAAATTGTTTGTCTTTGCCAATCTGATAGGTAAAAAAAAAAAAAGGTAGCTTTTTGTACTTTGTTTACATTTCTTTTTTTTGAAGTTGAACCCTTTTCCATATATCTAATACATGTTTGTATTTCCACTTTTGTGGACTGTTTATGTCCATTGCAAACTCTTCTACTGGGGTATAGGTAATTTTCTTACTAATTTATAGGAGGTCTTTTTGCTTATTATGAAAAATTTCAGATATATAAATTATATAGAAAATAAAATTAACCACACAGCTTAGGGAATAAATTATATACACAACTGAAATCTCCCATATGGTCTTCCTTAATTGAACCCTGTATCCCATTCTTAGACAGCCACTTAAGAATTCTTCCAGATGTTTTGAAATTTTATGTAAATCATTATATACTGAATATATTCTTTGCAACTCTTTCAACATGTTTTTGGGATATATGCAGACACATATATCCCATATTTTGGGACTGCTTCCACATTCACTTATTTTCATTTCTGTATGGTATGTTTTTAAGTTATCAGTATTGATACCATGTATCCTAGTTCATCTTAACTGCTATATGAAATTATGTTTTTGAAAGTCATTCTTGGTGACACATGTATTTAACTGTTGTGGGGTATACCATATTTATTTTCTCCATTCTTCGGCTGTTGTACACTTAGGATGTTTCTAATTTTTCATTATTATAATGTGGCAATAAACATTCTTAAACATGATTAAGGGCTCTTAAGTAATGAGCCTATTGTTCATATGTGTAGCAAACACTTTTTTCCCAATTTGTCATCTGTCTTTGGTGTTTATTTTCTTTTTTTCCATATAGAAATTTTTCAGTTTTCAAGCGTATTGATATTTTATGGCTTCAGGGTTTTGTGTCACACTTAGAAAGCTAGTTTTTACTTTTTTTCATTGGTAAGAATGAAGATAATAAGAGGGCTACCCTCATACAATTGCTGCAAGTATTAAATAAAACAATGTATATGAAATAACAAAGTGCCAACCACAATGTTATACACACAGACACAAAATTAGCTTATAAAAAGGGCATACAAGAAGGACCTCTTTGTTTTACAAACTTGGCACTGAATCTACGTTCATTCAGATGCCGCATACCCTGCAACCTGGAAACTGTTTTTATGCCTGGAAACTGAAATTATCGTCTCTGGTGTCTGACCATTCTTCTTTCAATATATCCTCCTAAAATGAAAATGGCATTCTAAGACATAAAAGAAATGTTAAAGGGTAAAGCCCTACCAGAGGCTGGGCCACAGGGGCTTGAGGATTCTGCTGGTTCATTGACACACCGGCTCCTGAAGGAGGCCCAGTGCTGTGGACTGGCTGAGGGTTGCCGGCCATCAGCGTTGGGATATTTGTCTGGCGATGCAGAATTTTCTAAAAAGTAAGAAGACAAATCTATGAGCTGTCTGTTTAACAAAGCAATCAGGTAGTTGCTACCCCCACTCAAGGTTTACCCCAGCATTTCCATAAAAGAACCAGTAGCACTCACCAGGGCAATCTCTGGATCCACAATTCTCATCACTACCTGTGCTTGTAGCAAAGCATACGCCAGTTGAGGGTTTTGGAGCAACATGTTTCGTGCTTCCTGGGGACTATTCTGGACACAGAGCTGAGAAGATGAACAGAATCATCATCAGGTTCAATACTTATACTTAGAAACTGATAGTGACTTAGAGCCATTCCCATCTGAGAAGAGTAATGGTTTTTGCATAGCACACAAAATCTTGGTCACGGCAGGCAAGAGAAGGAAGAGGCATTTCAAATACCATAATACCATCATTTAGGACAAAATCCATATTTTAATAACTACATCTGATTTCTATGGGCCACAAAAACCCAGCCAGATTGTGATGATGTGTTTGTGTACAAAAATGGAAAGCTCTTTGCACAAAATGTAAAATATACTGTGCACACATGGAATAGTGAAGGTGCAAGAAATGGTGGTCAACAGGCACACCTTCTACTTGAGCTCAGGGAATCATTTCCATTTACTTTATCAATTAACTCTTGAAAATTTGATGTAGCTGGATTTATTCACAACTTAATGCCTCCTCCCACCTTCATCTGTTTCATCAGCTCAAACATCTGCTCTGGTGGAAGACTGGCAACTGCTTTGCTAATGGACTCAGGGGCATCCTCAGGACTGATGGTCTCTCCATAAGGTGATTCAATGACAGGGGCACCAGTGCCAAGGCCTGATCGGGAAGAAAGTACAAAAAAGTTAACATAGGAAAATAAAGAGCTAAATCATTTCAAACATCCACTTTCCAGGGCTGCTGTAAGGACCCGATGATAACTTTAAATTCTCTGGAGCTGAGAAATAAGTAATTTGCTAGTCTCTTATTTCTGTGGAAGAAAGTGTAAGAGTGTATTTTCTGTTTTTGAGTAAAGCTGGGACCAGAATCACATAGGTGGACAATGTTAACCTAAATTAGAGATTAGGCATATCAATTTCCTTTGACAAGCAACTTCCAAAGCAAAAAGTTTAAATAGAAAAAGATGTTAATTTCAAAATGGAATTTCTGGATCTATAACCTCATAAAAAAGCCATAAGAATGCCTTAGCATCCCCACCAGTTACAGATCTGGCAGCATAGTTACAGGAGTGGCAAACATCAATGACATAATTAGTACTACTAATCACTTGGTGAGTCTGAATTCATCTTCAACTGGAATTAACTCCTTGGCAACTGAAGGACTTCTAAAGTCAACTTTACCTTGTTTCTCAAAGATACACACTTTCCTAATCAGGCACTTCAGGTAGGTCAAGCAAAGAAGCTGTGTGGATAACCATTTAAGCAGATGCTAAAACATATCATAAATGGAAAATCTTCATTGTTTTCATCTTTAGTAACTCATACAACTTGGGTTTATACTCACTCTTCAGCTCTTCTTTGTTCTTTTCACTGGCAGCATTGTCCACTCGAAGTGCTCTCCCACTGAATTCACGCCCATTCAGGTTTCTCATGGCACTAAGTGCTGTCTCTTGGTCTTGGTATTCACAGAAGCCATAACCCTTTGGCTTTCCTGTCTCCCTATCATATACCAACCTGAAGAGCAGAACCAAGTATCAGGCATAAATGTTACATACACACAGGGTTCCTGCAAACATTGCCATGTTCCAATTTGGTGAACTGTAAGGCAAATAACTTTATCAGTCTGACAGCCTCACTGAAATATTTTTTAAACACTGAAAATTTTTATTTTTTAATTATAACTGACATTCATAAACATTTAAAAAAATGAATCCCTTCCCCAGCTCGGTTGACAAGACAGGGCAGGTCATAAGGATCAACAGCTTCTCTGTGACTAGTGAAGGGGCTTGCTCAATTTGGTGTGGTGGACAAAGCCCACATCCAGCAGTGTTGTAAGTAGAGATAAAAATCACAGGTGGTTGAGTAGGGAATGCTCACAGCTCCACTTGCTTGAGGTTGTAGTCATTGTTAGAGAAGACACTTTTTTTTTTTTTACTTGACTGTGTGCATATGTAGCAGATTCTGGAGAAAACTCAAACCAGTTATACATATCTGGCTGATCCTAAAGCTGAACACATGTGCATAGGAAACATAAAAGGGCCCAGCAGAGAGTAAAAGCCTGGGCATACTTGAAAAACAGTATAAAATTTGAATGCCATCTGCATTTTAAAAATGTATCTTTTAGTAAAAATGAATGTGAATTGCATGGTATGTGAATTATAATCTCAATAAAGTTGTTACAAATAACAACAACAAAAAGAATGAGTGTGAAAAGTCACCCGTAAAAACCTTGCCATTTTTACTAAGGGCCAAATTTGTGGTGATTTTTGAGAAACTCCCACCAAGTAGTAAAAGGGAATCGCACCTGAAACTAACAACAGGTCCAACCTCAGAAAAGATGTCCTTTAATTGCTCTTCAGTAGCCTCATAGGGAATGTTCCCCACTAAGGAAGAAAATTAGATAACATTAAAATTCTGAGTTTGTTAATCTTCACCAAGAATATTGATTGTTTCCATCGATTTTTTAGAGAGAGTGGGAAGGAAGGAGGGAGGTATGGGGAGACAGTGAGAGAGAGATGTGAGAGAGGCACATCACTTGGTTGCCTCCTACAGGCACCCTCATGAGGGCAGGGATCGAACCTGCAACCCAGGTACCTGCCCTTGACCAGGCATCAAACCGGCGACCCTTTGGTGTGCAGGCGGATGCTCTAACCACTGAATAACACCAGCCAGGGCTGTAACCTAGATCTCTGGTAAGAAAATAAACACTATCTACTTATACCATGAAAAATGTAATTGGCTCAAAATGTAACAGTGCTCTTCCAATCCCAGTTATGGTACTCCCTTAGATAGGATTTCAATTTTTGCTGACTTTAACTGCAAGAGAAATAAACCACTGAGACTAAATACAAAAGATGCACACACTCCTAAATTTCAGTTCATAAATTGATCAGACAAGAGTTAGATTTTCCTTAACTTGGGCGAAAATACATAGGAATTGGTATTTACCTGAAGGTCTGCAAGTCTTATCAATAACTACTAAAGTATTCAATATCGTATTTTTTTTTTGATTAATCCTCACCCAAGGATATCTTTCTATTGATTTTTATATAGAGTGGAAGGGAAGAAGGGAAGGAAAGAGGGGAGGGAGGGAGGGAGAAAGAGAAACAGAGAGAGAGAGCGAAACATGGATGGGATTGGTTGCCTGCTGAATGACCCCGACTGGGGCCGGAGATGGAACCTGCAACTCAGGTACGCACTTGACCGGGAATCAAGAGCTGACACTCTAACCCTTGAGCCAAACTAGTGCCCTTGAGCCAAACTAGTGCAACAGGCTAGGGCTCAATGTTGTACTTTTAAAAACCAGCTCATATGTCCATATTTACACACACACACACACACACACACACACACACACACACCCCACTCAAAGGAGAATGGCCCGGGACTCAGTGGAATGTTTAAAAACTATTCTGCATTGTTTTGTCATGCCCCTTCCAAACGGTGCTTTAACCGCCCCCCCCCCCCACACATAACTTATTTCGGTGAAAAGGTTACTTAGAATAGATTCGATCCTTTTTAAAATTTCTTTGACGAGGTTCATTTACAATGCCACCTTAAGATGCCAGGTAGTCTCTACCACTATCAACAAACTAAAATGTAACAGGCTGAAAGCACAGGATTAAAGTCCTTATAAGAGGAGGGTGGGAAGTGGACACAAGTGCCTATATCCTCAGCAGAATCTGTATTCTGAAACAGGGGGTGAGAAGTAGTATCAGACAGTTGCTAACCGCCCTCGCTTCTAGAAAATAATTGAAGCTAGAAAATCAATGAAAGGAGAAACGCATAGAAGCTAAACGCTAGTTTAACTTCCTTGGCCACATTGTGGAAACGCTGCCAAACCTCGGGAGAAGGGGAACATCACTTTGCCCACGAGTTCATCAGCTTGGCCGCTCCATAAGACAGGCAGGCAGCGCTGCACGCCTGACCTTTCACAGGTTCTTAAGGCGATTCAAGAGGTGCAGGGGGCTTTCCTCGCTGCTCACTGTCTCTTTGTGTCCCTCCCCGATGCTTGGCAACACCGAATTCCTCTTACCGAACACCGAACGCAGAGAACGATCTACCGCAGGGTCTCTTACATTCAAACCCGCCATCGCTCTCTTCCTGTGACTTCCGGTATGCCGGGGCAACTTCCGTACTGCGCGTAAGCCCAGCAACCAACACGCTTCCGTACTGCGCCTGAACCGGAAATGCCTGGGCCGGGCGGACGCGGGGCCCCTCCCCAGGCGTCAGTGTGTCACGGGAGGCGTGCCTTACGGCCAGGAGGGCATTAACCCTCTGGCAGGGCTGCAATCTGAGAATAACTTCTTTCTGAGCCGGATTTAGGCGTTTGCAGGCGAATAGAATCTTTTATTATTCGTTCTTTCTTAGGCTAATACAAGTAATCCTTGACCACAATAAAGATGGCAGCAGCGGCCTTACCAAGGTAACAGGGAAGTCATTTCCTAACGACTGTGGCACTTTGATTTTAATTACGCCCTCTTAGGGGAGGGAAGTGCTTGGCCCCGCCCCAGCGGCGTGCAGCTGATCAGCTCGTAAAAGCCGTGAGTGTACAGAGGTGGGGAAAGAGTCCAGGCAGCCTAGAAGAATGAGAGGCATTCAACAGCAGGGCATTAGCATAGTTGAGAAGATGGGGAAGTAAAAGGAGAACAGACCTCTGTCTACTCTTGTCTAGCCCCTGGGCTCCTTGTGCTTGGTGGTGAGGGGGCGGGCTTCAGAAAGCATTAGAACAGGAAACATTGAATCGTGGTACACAATAAGCAGCTGAGGCGTGATTTGAACTAAGGTTGTTTTGGCTCCAGAGACTGAATGCTTACTGTTGTATCTACTGCCTCCCAGTATAACAGAAAATATGGATGGCTCAAGATATTTTATTACCATTAAAAAAAAAGAAAAGAAAAAGAATTTAGCCCTGGCCGGTTTGGCTCAGCGGTTGGAGCATTGGCCTGTGCACCAGAGTCCCGGGTTCGGTTCCCGCTTAGGGGCACCTACCAAAAAAAAAAAAAAAGAAGAATGTAGTGGTGATGGTGGATCAATGACTCAATAATGAACTACCCAAGGATAGGTTGAGGCACTTAGCCAGGGTTGTTCTGCTGCCATTAACCATCTGTGGAGAATGGACTGTTGATTCTATCACTTCATCAACCATCCCTACCCTACTGGTTATAAAAGAGGAGGTGGGTGCAAGGCATATTTCCTAAGCTTTTGCTTTTTTATATTTGACTTTCACTTATAGGCCATGTGCTAACGACTTCAGTGTCTGTTGTCTATGAGAGTCTTTTCCATTTACTGTAACACTCCCAGAGTGACACATTTTTTTGCGTCCTAGTTATAGCAAAATGGAGACAAGATGAGACATCTGACCCTATTGTAGGTATTATGACTGAGCCTCAGTTGACACAACGATGCAGATGCACTATGAAAAGACGGAGAAAACTAGGAAAGATACATTTCTATACAAATGAGTCTAAATGTATGGGGTAGGTGTTATTTGGGACCATTGAGTAGAAGAGAAAAGCACATAATGGAGAGTCAAAGAATTTGGGAAACCACAGTCAAGATTTTTGACCATTGGCAGAAAGTTTTGTGGAAAAGTTCTGAGTTCTTATCCAATCTTGTTAACAACACTTAGAATCTTAGGTAACATACAATTGAAGGGTGCAAAGATATTCAAGATGGTGAGGGCACAGAGACTTGCGTTCTTTCTCCTGGCCATAGAAGGTCAAACTTCTAAGGCTGGGTCAGTACTACTTCATGCTTGACCTACATTTAAAGCTCCTCAAAGAGTCATGGAATGAAATCCCTCATTGATCTTCTAGGGAATACCTGAAAAAAAAACAGCAAGTCCTGGACAGACATCATTGCATGAAAAAGTTCCCAGAAATCACTGTAGCATTACCATAGTTAGGAGAAATACTCAGTGAACAGTGCCTGAAGAGCTAAGGAAACTTTGGGCCCTCAGAGAGCACCTAATGCTTACACAGATCCTGGTTAGTATCTGGATCTAAATACCAATGAGCTTGCTTTCCAGAAAGAAACATTATTCCTAAGTTTGTCACTACTGCATTATCACACTTGTTCTGTAGCAATATCTGTACTTTTGGGGAATAGTTAGATTAAACTCTGAAGCTACTCTACAGAGAGTTGGTTGTCCAGTCCAAAGCTGGTCATTCTAGTCTTTCGACTTTAGCATTTTCATTTTTTATTTCTTACCTAACTACTTTTGTTCTCAATTCACATTCAGTGAATACATTTTCTGTATTTCTTTCCCAGAAGGTTCAGGATTCTTCATCTGCTCAAAGGCTGCCTTATGAGATACATTGCTTGGGAGCAGGCCAAGAAATTAGGTGGTCAACTTAATTGGAGGAAGATTTCCCTTGTTCTTGAGAATGGCATGGTGACCTCTTGTTGCTGAATGAGGACTGCTCTAAGCCAAGCATTGGGGAAAATTGAGTAAGAGAAGGAAGTCTGATTTTTTTTTTTCCTTAGAATCTACCAGGCTTGCTTGTCTAAAACTTAGGTCTGTTTAGGGGTATGTTCTTTTCCAGAACCAGAACTCTGGGAGGCTGTTGCCTTGGCACATACAATCCAGGGTTTAGCAAAATGAAGGTGGATATCACTGGATAGCACTTAAACTCCAAAAGTATGCTGCTAGGTGAGCATGGCTGGGTAGAGAATGTGGATAATGGTATCAAGTTGGGGTAAAAAGGGTGATATTGATTAAAAAGAGCTAATATTTGTGAAGGGCCATATAGCTTTTCTATATAGATCTCACTTGATCCTCACAATTCCTGGGAGATAGTTTTAGAGTGTTGTTGTGATAAAATATTCATAACAGAATTGACAATTTTAACCCTTTTTAAGTGTACAGTTCAGTAACTTTAATTATATTGATATTGTGCAATCATCATCACTATCCATCTCCAGAGCTATTTATTTTTCTAAACTGAAACTTCATACACATTAAGCACTAATTCCCCATTCTCCCTTATGCCTATCCCCTGGCAGCCACCATTCTAATTCTGTCTCTTATGAATTTGACTACTATAGGTACTTTATATAAGTAGAATCATAACACTATTTTTCTTCTTGTGACTGACTTATTTCACTTAGCATAATGTCTTCAAGGTTCATCCATGTTGTAGCATGTGTCAGAATTTTCTTCCTTTTTAAGGCTTAATAGTAAGTATCCCATTGTATGTATATACTGCAATTTGTTTCTTCACTCATTGACAGACACTTGGGTTGCTTCTACCTTTTGGCTATTGTGAATAATGCTGCTGTGAACATGGCTGTAAAAATATTTATTTGAGTCCCTGCTGTCAATTCTTTGGGGTATATACTAGGAAGTGGAATTGCTAGATCTTATGGTAATTCTATGTTTAATTTTTTTGAGGAACCACCATACCATTTACCACAGCTACAGCACCATTTTTTATTTCTACCAGTGATGCCAAGAGTTCTCATTTCCTCCTCACCAACATTGTTATTTTTCATTTTTTTAATATAATAGCCACCCTAAATGAGTGTGAAGTGGTATTTCATTGGGATTTTATTTGAATTTCCCAACTATATTGGAAAAATCTACTCTTCTCCTCTCCTGTGTGTTTCCTTTATTTTCATATAGAACACTTCACTTCTGACAACTCTGGTGACCAAATGTGGGTTGTTTCCCCCCACAAGTATTTCTCTGTAACACCAAAAGGGTGTCCTATAATTTAACTCAATTTTGATACTATCTAGTATCAGATCCCATAGGTTAAGGGCTTAGTCCTACAAGATTGCCCCCATTCCTCTTCAGATGCCAGTCTCAAATCCAGGTTGTCACTTGTGCTTCTGACCAATTGGCTATAAATCAGTTTCCATTGTCCCCCCTCGTTGGGTTCAATTAATTTGCTAGAGTGTCTCATAGAATTCAGGAAAACAGTTACTTACATTTACCAGTTTATTAAGGTATATGATAAAGGATACATGTGAACACCCAAATGAAGAGCTACATAAGGTGAGGTCTGGGAGGGTCCTGACCGCAGGTGCTCTGTCCCCATGTTTTTGAGGACTCTCTTGGTAGGTGGATGTGTTCACAAACCTGAAAGTTCTTTGAACCCCATACTTTTGGGACAGTTATAGAGGCTTCATCATGTGGACATAATTAATCATTAACACCATTTCTAGCCCCTTTCTCCCTTTTGGAGGATAGGGGGTTGGGTTGCAAATTCCAAGCTTCTAATCATGGCTTGGTCATTTCAGTGACTATCTCCCATCTAGGAGCTCACCCAGAATTGCCTCATTGGAATGAAAATGCTCCTAATGCTCTTATCATTTAGGAAATTACAAGGGTTTTAGGAGTCCTGTGTCAGGGATGGGATCAAAGACAAAATATGAGAATAAGAGATGCTCCTAGTGTTCTCATCACTGAGAAATTTACAAGAGTTTTAGGATCTCTGTGCCATGAACTAGCAGCAGAGTCCAATAAACATATTTCTGTTATCTCACATCTAATGATTAGTGAGGTTGAACATCTTTTAAAATTTTTTTTTTCTTTTCTCATTGATTTTAGAGAGAAAGGGAGAGGCAGAGAGATAGAAACATTGATGAGAGAGAACATTGATTGGCCGCCTCCTGCACGCCACCCATGGGGGATAGGGCCCACAACCTGGGCATGTGCTCTGATCAGGAATCGAACCGTGACCTCCTGGTGCATGAGTCCACATTCAACCACTGAGCCACACCGGCTGGGCAAGGTTGAACATCTTTTTGTGTCTTATATCCCATTTGTATATCTTTGTAGAAATGTCTAAGTCCTTTACCCATTTTAAAATAAGTTTTTTTTTTCTTTCTGTTGAGTTATAGTCTTTTTTAAAAATAGACTCTGGATACTAATCCCTTATCAGATATATGATTTGCAGATATTTTTTCCCATTCTGAGGCTTGCCTTTTTATTCTGTTTATAGTGTCTTTGATGTATAAAAGTTTTAATTTTGGTGGAGTCCAGTTTATTTATTTATTTTATTTATTGCTTGTGCATCTGAAGTTATATCCATGAAATTTTTATTTTTTTATTTTTTTTTTATCCTCACCCGAGGACATTTTTCCATTTTTTGTTCAGGTAG